TTACTAAACAGCATTTACTCTATAAACAACCACTTATCCTTTATTAATGACAATTTAATGTTATTATTTATTTAATTTTTCGTTGATTATTTTGTGAATTATTTTTAGGAATTATAAATTATTTAATGATCTTTTTGCTTAAGGGAATTTTATTGTGTTCAGTGACTCATTGGTGCGTTACCTTAAGATTATCTTAAGGTTACCTTAAGGTTACCTTAGAGGAGTGTTCACATGTGTACAAGTGACACTAGAGCAGCTTTGCATATGTATAAACAGCAGGTGTGGAGTTCCACACTTGCACTAAACGCAGTGACAACAAGTGTACACAGATGCCATTTCCTCTCGGACGAAAGTTCGAGCCTTCGGCACGGCCCTTGTGGATACTGGAGCAAGCCCCAGGGTACTGTGCTTGCTCCAGTACTCAGTCCCCCCCAGGGTACTGTGCTTGCTCCAGTGCTCAGTCCCCCCAGGGTACTGTGCTTGCTCCAGTACTCGGTCCCCCCAGGGTACTGTGCTTGCTCCAGTACTCAGTCCCCCCAGGGTACTGTGCTTGCTCCAGTACTCAGTCCCCCCAGGGTACTGTGCTTGCTCCAGTACTCAGTCCCCCCCAGGGTACTGTGCTTGCTCCAGTACTCAGTCCCCCAGGGTACTGTGCTTGCTCCAGTGCTCAGTCCACCAGGGTACTGTGCTTGCTCCAGTGCTCAGTCCCCCAGGGTACTGTGCTTGCTCCAGTGCTCAGTCCCCCAGGGTACTGTGCTTGTTCCAGTGCTCAGTCCCCCAGGGTACTGTGCTTGCTCCAGTACTCAGTCCCCCAGGGTACTGTGCTTGCTCCAGTACTCAGTCCCCCAGGGTACTGTGCTTGCTCCAGTACTCAGTCCCCCAGGGTACTGTGCTTGCTCCAGTACTCAGTCCCCCAGGGTACTGTGCTTGCTCCAGTACTCAGTCCCCCAGGGTACTGTGCTTGCTCCAGTGCTCAGTCCCCCAGGGTACTGTGCTTGCTCCAGTGCTCAGTCCCCCAGGGTACTGTGCTTGCTCCAGTGCTCAGTCCCCCAGGGTACTGTGCTTGCTCTAGTGCTCAGTCCCCCCAGGGTACTGTGCTTGCTCCAGTGCTCAGTCCCCCCCAGGGTACTGTGCTTGCTCCAGTGCTCAGTCCCCCATGGTACTGTGCTTGCTCCAGTGCTCAGTCCCCCAGGGTACTGTGCTTGCTTCAGTACAGTCCCACCCAGGGTACTGTGCTTGCTCCAGTGCTCAGTCCACCAGGGTACTGTGCTTGTTCCAGTGCTCAGTCCCCCAGGGTACTGTGCTTGCTTCAGTACAGTCCCCCAGGGTACTGTGCTTGCTCCAGTGCTCAGTCCACCAGGGTACTGTGCTTGCTCCAGTGCTCAGTCCCCCCCCCAGGGTACTGTGCTTGCTCCAGTGCTCAGTCCCCCAGGGTACTGTGCTTGTTCCAGTGCTCAGTCCCCCAGGGTACTGTGCTTGCCCCAGTACTCAGTCCCCCAGGGTACTGTGCTTGCTCCAGTCCACCCCAGGGTACTGTGCTTGCTCCAGTACTCAGTCCCCCAGGGTACTGTGCTTGCTCCAGTACTCGGTCCCCCAGGGTACTGTGCTTGCTCCAGTACTCAGTCCCCCAGGGTACTGTGCTTGCTCCAGTACTCAGTCCCCCAGGGTACTGTGCTTGCTCCAGTGCTCAGTCCCCCAGGGTACTGTGCTTGCTCCAGTGCTCAGTCCCCCAGGGTACTGTGCTTGCTCCAGTGCTCAGTCCCCCCAGGGTACTGTGCTTGCTCCAGTACTCAGTCCCCCAGGGTACTGTGCTTGCTCCAGTACTCAGTCCCCCAGGGTACTGTGCTTGCTCCAGTACTCAGTCCGCCAGGGTACTGTGCTTGCTCCAGTACTCAGTCCCCCAGGGTACTGCGCTTGCTCCAGTGCTCATTCCCCCCTAGGGTACTGTGCTTGCTCCAGTTCTCAATCCCCCCCAGGGTACTGTGCTTGCTCCAGTGCTCAGTCCCCCCCCAGGGTACTGTGCTTGCTTCAGTACTCAGTCCCCCAGGGTACTGTGCTTGCTCCAGTACTCAGTCCCCCAGGGTACTGTGCTTGCTTCAGTACAGTCCCACCCAGGGTACTGTGCTTGCTCCAGTGCTCAGTCCACCAGGGTACTGTGCTTGCTCCAGTGCTCAGTCCCCCCCCAGGGTACTGTGCTTGCTCCAGTGCTCAGTCCCCCAGGGTACTGTGCTTGTTCCAGTGCTCAGTCCCCCAGGGTACTGTGCTTGCTCCAGTACTCAGTCCCCCAGGGTACTGTGCTTGCTTCAGTACAGTCCCCCAGGGTACTGTGCTTGCTCCAGTGCTCAGTCCACCAGGGTACTGTGCTTGCTCCAGTGCTCAGTCCCCCCACCCCAGGGTACTGTGCTTGCTCCAGTGCTCAGTCCCCCAGGGTACTGTGCTTGCTCCAGTGCTCAGTCCCCCAGGGTACTGTGCTTGCTCCAGTACTCAGTCCCCCAGGGTACTGTGCTTGCTCCAGTACTCAGTCCCCCAGGGTACTGTGCTTGCTCCAGTACTCAGTCCCCCAGGGTACTGTGCTGGCTCCAGTGCTCAGTCCCCCAGGGTACTGTGCTTGCTCCAGTACTCAGTCCCCCAGGGTACTGTGCTTGCTCCAGTACTCAGTCCCCCAGGGTACTGTGCTTGCTCCAGTGCTCAGTCCCCCAGGGTACTGTGCTTGCTCCAGTGCTCAGTCCCCCAGGGTACTGTGCTTGCTCCAGTGCTCAGTCCCCCAGGGTACTGTGCTTGCTCCAGTGCTCAGTCCCCCCAGGGTACTGTGCTTGCTCCAGTACTCAGTCCCCCCCAGGGTCCTGTGCTTGCTCCAGTGCTCAGTCCCCCAGGGTACTGTGCTTGCTCCAGTGCTCAGTCCCCCAGGGTACTGTGCTTGCTTCAGTACAGTCCCCCAGGGTACTGTGCTTGCTCCAGTGCTCAGTCCCCCAGGGTACTGTGCTTGCTTCAGTACAGTCCCACCCAGGGTACTGTGCTTGCTCCAGTGCTCAGTCCCCCAGGGTACTGTGCTTGCTTCAGTACAGTCCCCCAGGGTACTGTGCTTGCTCCAGTACTCAGTCCCCCAGGGTACTGTGCTTGCTTCAGTACAGTCCCCCAGGGTACTGTGCTTGCTCCAGTGCTCAGTCCACCAGGGTACTGTGCTTGCTCCAGTGCTCAGTCCCCCCCAGGGTACTGTGCTTGCTCCAGTGCTCAGTCCCCCAGGGTACTGTGCTTGTTCCAGTGCTCAGTCCCCCAGGGTACTGTGCTTGCTCCAGTACTCAGTCCCCCAGGGTACTGTGCTTGCTCCAGTCCACCCCTGGGTACTGTGCTTGCTCCAGTACTCAGTCCCCCAGGGTACTGTGCTTGCTCCAGTACTCAGTCCCCCAGGGTACTGTGCTTGCTCCAGTACTCAGTCCCCCAGGGTACTGTGCTTGCTCCAGTGCTCAGTCCCCCAGGGTACTGTGCTTGCTCCAGTGCTCAGTCCCCCGGGGTACTGTGCTTGCTCCAGTGCTCAGTCCCCCCAGGGTACTGTGCTTGCTCCAGTACTACATTTCCCCAGGGTACTGTGCTTGCTCCAGTACTCAGTCCCCCAGGGTACTGTGCTTGCTCCAGTACTCAGTCCCCCAGGGTACTGCGCTTGCTCCAGTGCTCATTCCCCCCTAGGGTACTGCGCTTGCTCCAGTGCTCATTCCCCCCTAGGGTACTGTGCTTGCTCCAGTTCTCAGTCCCCCCCAGGGTACTGTGCTTGCTCCAGTGCTCAGTCCCCCCCAGGGTACTGTGCTTGCTTCAGTACTCAGTCCCCCAGGGTACTGTGCTTGCTCCAGTACTAAGTCCCCCAGGGTACTGTGCTTGCTCCAGTGCTCAGTCCCCCCAGGGTACTGTGCTTGCTCCAGTACTCAGTCCCCCCAGGGTACTGCGCTTGCTCCAGTACTCAGTCCCCCCAGGGTACTGCGCTTGCTCCAGTACTCAGTCCCCCCAGGGTACTGCGCTTGCTCCAGTACTCAGTCCCCCAGGGTACTGCGCTTGCTCCAGTGCTCAGTCCCCCCCAGGGTACTGTGCTTGCTCCAGTGCTCAGTCCCCCCCAGGGTACTGTGCTTGCTCCAGTGCTCAGTCCCCCCCAGGGTACTGTGCTTGCTCCAGTGCTCAGTCCCCCCCAGGGTACTGTGCTTGCTCCAGTGCTCAGTCCCCCCCAGGGTACTGTGCTTGCTCCAGTTCTCAGTCCCCCCAGGGTACTGTGCTTGCTCCAGTGCTCAGTCCCCCCCAGGGTACTGTGCTTGCTCCAGTGCTCAGTCCCCCCCAGGGTACTGTGCTTGCTCCAGTGCTCAGTCCCCCCCAGGGTACTGTGCTTGCTCCAGTGCTCAGTCCCCCCCAGGGTACTGTGCTTGCTCCAGTGCTCAGTCCCCCCCAGGGTACTGTGCTTGCTCCAGTGCTCAGTCCCCCCAGGGTACTGTGCTTGCTCCAGTACTCAGTCCCCCAGGGTACTGTGCTTGCTCCAGTCCACCCCAGGGTACTGTGCTTGCTCCAGTACTCGGTCCCCCAGGGTACTGTGCTTGCTTATTTTCCAAATAAGTTGTAAGTAATCAGATATCGAATTCATTGATTAAGATCTAGATATGTGGCATGGCTCCCTCCTGCCCCCTGTGACGTCATCTGGGCAGCCGTAATAATAGGATCGAATATCACGTTTTCCAGAACCTTGAAGAGACCCTTAATGCTAAATTCCTCTCTATTGTAGCAACTGATGGCGTCTGGCATTTTCCATCCGGTCTGAGATTAGAACTCTGAAAGTACTCCTTAACATTCATCATACACCATCGTCAATATAAATATAAATAATTTTATTAATTTTAGGGCAGGTAGTTAGTAGATAATGACTGTTAAATGGTAGGAAATGGAAGATAATAGTTGGGGGAGATGCCAGACACCGCCACAAGGAGGAACCCGCGGGGGCCCTGCGCCGTCAACAAGACGCCAGTGTCGTGGCAAGTGCGGGAGGGGCAACATGTCGGCGGAGAAACTACAAATTACCATCAGTGATGGCGCCTCTCGGCGCGACGACTTAATCGGGGACACGATGCTTTCCACCTGGGACATCGTCTGCGTCGCCATCTACTTCGCGCTCGTCGCGGGCGTGGGAATATACGTGAGTATATCATCATATCCCTACCATTGGCCGATGCTTTGCCTAGTTCTAGGCGTGAATACGAGGCCTGGAAATTACTATAGTTTCCCCTCATTCATCCATTCTTTGTTTACAAACAAATGTAAACAAATGAGGGGATATTGGCGGGAGAAGAGGGGAGTATAGCGGCGCATAGCAGTATATTAAAGTAGACCTCGCCGACGGCGTCGAGTGCCATGTGGCCCCCCCCCAACCCCATGGGGAGTGTCATGTGGCTTCTCCCACCCATGGGGAGTGCCATGTGGCCCCCCCCACCCCATGGGGAGTGCCATGTGGCGCCCCCCACCCCATGGGGAGTGCCATGTGGCTCCTACCCACCCATGGGGAGTGTCATGTGGCTTCTCCCACCCATGGGGAGTGCCATGTAGCTCCTACCCACCAATGGGAAGTGTCATGTGGCTCCTACCCACCCATGGGGAGTGTCATGTGGCTCCTACCCACCCATGGGGAGTGCCATGTGGCTTCTCCCACCCATGGGGAGTGCCATGTTGCTCCCCCACCCATGGGGAGTGTCATGTGGCTTCTCCCACCCATGGGGAGTGTCATGTGGCTTCTCCCACCCATGGGGAGTGCCATGTGGCCCCCCCACCCCATGGGGAGTGCCATGTGGCTCCTACCCACCCATGGGGAGTGCCATGTGGCCCCCCCACCCCATGGGGAGTGTCATGTGGCCCCCCACCCCATGGGGAGTGCCATGTGGCCCCCCACCCCATGGGGAGTGCCATGTGCCCCCCACCCCATGGGGAGTGCCATGTGGCCCCCCACCCCATGGGGAGTGCCATGTGGCCCCCCACCCCATGGGGAGTGCCATGTGGCCCCCCACCCCATGGGGAGTGCCATGTGGCCCCCCACCCCATGGGGAGTGCCATGTGCCCCCCCCACCCCATGGGGAGTGCCATGTGCCCCCCCCCCACCCCATGGGGAGTGCCATGTAGCTTCTCCCACCCATGGGGAGTGCCATGTGGCTTCTCCCACCCATGGGGAGTGCCATGTAGCTTCTCCCACCCATGGGGAGTGCCATGTGGCTTCTCCCACCCATGGGGAGTGCCATGTGCCCCCCCACCCCATGGGGAGTGCCATGTGGCTTCTCCCACCCATGGGGAGTGCCATGTGGCTTTTCCCACCCATGGGGAGTGTCATGTGGCTCCTACCCACCCATGGGGAGTGTCATGTGGCTCCTACCCACCCATGGGGAGTGTCATGTGGCTCCTACCCACCCATGGGGAGTGCCATGTGGCTCCCCCCACCCATGGGGAGTGCCATGTGGCTCCTACCCACCCATGGGGAGTGCCATGTGGCTCCTACCCACCCATGGGGAGTGCCATGTGGCTCCTACCCACCCATGGGGAGTGCCATGTGGCTCCTACCCACCCATGGGGAGTGCCATGTGGCTCCCCCCACCCATGGGGAGTGCCATGTGGCTCCCCCCACCCATGGGGAGTGCCATGTGGCTCCCCCCACCCATGGGGAGTGCCATGTGGCTCCTACCCACCCATGGGGAGTGCCATGTGGCTCCTACCCACCCATGGGGAGTGCCATGTGGCTCCCCCCACCCATGGGGAGTGCCATGTGGCTCCTACCCACCCATGGGGAGTGCCATGTGGCTCTTACCCACCCATGGGGAGTGCCTAGTGGTCCCAATATATAATATTCACACACGCGTACATACATATATTTACATGAGGCCTGACGGCTGAATTGACGGCGCTCGGGTTTCGTAGTCCTAAGAGTCCGGGTTCGATCCCCGGTGGAGGTGGAAGCAAATGGGCAGAGTTTTTTTCACCCTGTTGCCCCTGTTCACCTAACAGTAAATAGGTACCTGGGAAATCACAATAGCATGATGCATCAATGAACAAATCCACAAGGGCCGTGACGAGGATTCGAACCTACGTCCGAGAGCATCCCAGACGCTGCCTTAATCGACTGAGCTACGACATCGTCAACAGAATTGTAACGAGAAGTTCTACTGAACTTACTGAACGTTTGATGGGCTGGTGCTGGTAGGCCTATACTAGGCCTAGGCTGTACACAACAACGGGATCACCTTAGGCTGTGTTGAATGTGCAACACGTCAAAAATATCAATGGAGGCCCAGCATTTATTTGTTGCATAGCATTATGTGTGTATAATGCTATGTTGCATAGCATTATGTGTGTATAATGCTATGTTGCATAGCATTGTGTGTGTATAATGCTATGTTGCATAGCATTGTGTGTGTATAATGCTATGTTGCATAGCATTGTGTGTGTATAATGCTATGTTGCATAGCATTATGTGTGTATAATGCTATGTTGCATAGCATTATGTGTGTATAATGCTATGTTGCATAGCATTGTGTGTGTATAATGCTATGTTGCATAGCATTGTGTGTGTATAATGCTATGTTGCATAGCATTGTGTGTGTATAATGCTATGTTGCATAGCATTATGTGTGTATAATGCTATGTTGCATAGCATTATGTGTGTATAATGCTATGTTGCATAGCATTATGTGTGTATAATGCTATGTTGCATAGCATTGTGTGTGTATAATGCTATGTTGCATAGCATTGTGTGTGTATAATGCTATGTTGCATAGCATTATGTGTGTATAATGCTATGTTGCATAGCATTATGTGTGTATAATGCTATGTTGCATAGCATTGTGTGTGTATAATGCTATGTTGCATAGCATTGTGTGTGTATAATGCTATGTTGCATAGCATTGTGTGTGTATAATGCTATGCAACAATGTGATCACGACCTTGTAGACGTGTAAGGTCGTCATGGCATTATATTCTCCCACATGATGCACACTGACCAAACATATACATATATATATATATATATTAGTATATTTTGGTAGCAGTCTTTCCTCTAGACATATTTAATAATATATGACCGAAAAAGTAAGATTAATAATTCTAACACGAATTTTCTCAAGATTTCTTATGTTTCTTTTCACTGTCGATGGTAATTGAAAAATCAATTCTCCAAAATTCATTTTTATTTCTAGTCTGACGCGACACTTGAACGCGTTTCGTAATAACTTATTACATTTTCAAAGACTTTAGTTTACACACACACACAACTGTAACCTGAAAACACTTAACAAAGTTTTACTAATTCTAATGCTAAACATCTTGTCTTATATACTCGCATTTGGGTGAGGTGAACAAACTTTTGACCAACACAAGACAGAACACGGAACAATGGGTATTAATTGGATAAATGAGAGGGAAGAATGGAACTGCAGAAGGCCTATTGGCCCATACTTCCTCTTGCTGCTTCTATATTAGTTCGGGGTCTTGAAGTGGCTAGAATATAGTTGTGAGTAATAAGCTGTTGATTGCTGGTGTTGACTTCTTGATGTGTAGTGCCTCGCAGATGTCAAGCCGCCTGCTATCACTGTATCTATCGATGATTTCTGTGTTGTTTGTTAAGACTTCTCTGTTGATGGTTTGGTTGTGGGAAGAGATTATATGTTCCTTAATGGAGCCCTGTTGCTTATGCATCGTTAAACGCCTAGAAACAGTCTCGGGCCTCTGATGTTGATAGTTCTCTCTTGAACACTGTGAGGGGTCGGCCAGTTATGTCCCTTATGTGTAGTGGAAGCGTGTTGAACAGTCTCGGGCCTCTGATGTTGATAGTTCTCTCTTGAACACTGTGAGGGGTCTGCCAGTTATGTCCCTTATGTGTAGTGGAAGCGTGTTGAACAGTCTCGGGCCTCTGATGTTGATAGTTCTCTCTTGAACACTGTGAGGGGTCGGCCAGTTATGTCCCTTATGTGTAGTGGAAGCGTGTTGAACAGTCTCGGGCCTCTGATGTTGATAGTTCTCTCTTGAACACTGTGAGGGGTCGGCCAGTTATGTCCCTTATGTGTAGTGGAAGCGTGTTGAACAGTCTCGGGCCTCTGATGTTGATAGTTCTCTCTTGAACACTGTGAGGGGTCGGCCAGTTATGTCCCTTATGTGTAGTGGAAGCGTGTTGAACAGTCTCGGGCCTCTGATGTTGATAGTTCTCTCTTGAACACTGTGAGGGGTCGGCCAGTTATGTCCCTTATGTGTAGTGGAAGCGTGTTGAACAGTCTCGGGCCTCTGATGTTGATAGTTCTCTCTTGAACACTGTGAGGGGTCGGCCAGTTATGTCCCTTATGTGTAGTGGAAGCGTGTTGAACAGTCTCGGGCCTCTGATGTTGATAGTTCTCTCTTGAACACTGTGAGGGGTCGCCCAGTTATGTCCCTTATGTGTAGTGGAAGCGTGTTGAACAGTCTCGGGCCTCTGATGTTGATAGTTCTCTCTTGAACACTGTGAGGGGTCGGCCAGTTATGTCCCTTATGTGTAGTGGAAGCGTGTTGAACAGTCTCGGGCCTCTGATGTTGATAGTTCTCTCTTGAACACTGTGAGGGGTCGGCCAGTTATGTCCCTTATGTGTAGTGGAAGCGTGTTGAACAGTCTCGGGCCTCTGATGTTGATAGTTCTCTCTTGAACACTGTGAGGGGTCGGCCAGTTATGTCCCTTATGTGTAGTGGAAGCGTGTTGAACAGTCTCGGGCCTCTGATGTTGATAGTTCTCTCTTGAACACTGTGAGGGGTCGGCCAGTTATGTCCCTTATGTGTAGTGGAAGCGTGTTGAACAGTCTCGGGCCTCTGATGTTGATAGTTCTCTCTTGAACACTGTGAGGGGTCGGCCAGTTATGTGTAGTGGAAGCGTGTTGAACAGTCTCGGACCTCTGATGTTGACAGCTCTCTCAGAGTACCTGTTGCATTTCTTTAGGTTTCCCCAAGACGAAAAAAATATTCAGTTTCCTCCTGTTATTCCCCAATCGCTTCCTTATCTCTGGCATTGTGGGCAATGTAAGTCATCCGTGTTCCTTATCTCGTTCATATCCCCTTATCTCAGGAACACGTTTAGCTTACTCTTCCTAACACCCTGATTTGTTCATATAGTCTGATAAGCTCTAGCATCACTTCTGATAAGTC